CGTTTTCGTTATCCCTGCTTCTTCCACCTATCTTCCTCGCTCCTCCTGCAGAACTACTAAAGGCATATGAATGAGCATCATAAAGAAAACAGACCGTCATAAAGAGAACAGACAGAATATAGTAATATACCCATCTGGGCCCTCCCCCTTTACTCTGCCTCCTTTCATAGCGTGAGAGAGGGCTGTGTGGCACAAGGCGGCTCGTGGGCAACCACAATTACCATGACAAGTCTCTAGTAGACAGCACCGGCCTCTGAACGCTACACGGCATGTGTAGCATGGAGGGAGGTGAAAGCAGGTTACTTCTGGAACTGGAGTTTGGCTGACTGTCTGCTCTCTGATGCGCCTATTTGGTGTATGTGGATGAATGGTGCAGATGACGTGTCAGGAGCTTGTTTGCAGCCAACGATATGTGTTGAGATCAAGGTGAGACTTGTCGTTCTCTTCTATCCCCTGCTGCTTTAAACCACCAGTACATGGGCACCCGGGCCGCGGGTCTGACACCTCAAATTCTGGAGGCGCGAAACTAAACTGGGGCTGCTGATCGAATTTATCAACAGCGGGCCGAGTGCTTGACGTTTCGGCAACTCGTTTTCTTGTGGCGACAAGTTTCGGACTGCAAGGCTGGGGCCGTACTTGTGGTTTAAGGCTGGCCAACTCGTTGACCAGTGTGATTATTCACCAATCAGTTGACGCTATCACCAAATAACTGAGAGCGGCCTTTAGAGAGAGAGAGAGAGAGAGAGAGAGAGGCTAAATGGCAAAATTAAAACATTGGTCAAATTGCGGGCGCGATCTATTTCACAGTTGGAATGATTTTTTTTTAAATTTATTGAGCATTTTTCCTGGAAAGATCACAATAAATTTGAGTAAAATCTACGAGTACTCCAATTTTCAGGTTTTTTCATGCATTCTTCTGAGCATGAAAACTCACTGAATTTGGAGTACTTTTTCGGTTGGCCCACACATGGCTGAGTGGCAAAAACGGAAAATGTGCCGAATCAGCGCGTTGATTATTTCGTGGTCTAAATGATTTTTTGGAAATGTTCTAATATTTTTCCTGGAAAAACACGACCTCATCTATGGATTCTCAAAATTTCAGATTTTTCTGCGGGTTCTTCCGAGCACAGAAAATCGCCAAAGTGGCCTCTTGCAAAATGCCTGTTTCATTGCGCCTGACCTCCCTATTTTGAGAAGACGGGCAACGCCTGGGCCTGAGGGCCCTTTTGCATTTCACATGCCCTCACTTTTTTTTGGGGTCCGTTTCCACCTGAGGACCAGTCCAACGCCCCCCACTTCTTTTTGGGGTCCGCTTCGACCTGAGGACCGGTCCTTCCTTTTTCTAAAAGTCCCAGTTCTACCAGAGCTAGCTGTAGGTAGTCCGCAATTTTGCCAAGGACCGGTCCCCCAAATTTTTTTGCCTCCTAAGAACCCACTTTGCATCCTGGTCGCCCCCCGCCGAAAATGCGACACCTTGACACAGATGCCGAAGCCCACTATACCGCAGCCTTAGGGCTGCGAATATCCCCCCTCCTCAAAAGTTTCTCAGCGGATTTGGGCTGTACTCAGCAAGCGCAGTACAGCCCCCAACTCAGATTTGAAAAAAAAACAGTGGATGGTTGCAGACCGCCGACCGGTCGGCCCTACTGGTGGGCTGCAATACGGTCGGCGGTCGGGGTTGGCGGTCGGCAGGTATGCAACCCTGCAGCACGGTAGCCTCCCCTCTAACTGACCTCACATGCCTTGACACCCCATGGGATATCCTGAATGTTTGTCCGGAGGTCGGCTGATCTGCTGTCATGTGCTTGTTTTCTCACAGTCGGTCGACTATCCTGTCCATCTTTGCACATACCGTGCTGATGGTGAAGCCCATTTCCATCTACCAGCTTCAGCAACATATCGATGTCATAAACTGTATCGATCGCCTTGTTTACTCTCTCTCAAAAGCCCGATGCACCGAGTATGGCATTTTCGATCTCCGTGCAAAGCAAACGCTGTGCATGGAGAACCATATTCCACCTTGTATGTGACCATAGCAACCAATGCTTTGTGCTGCTTCTTGAGGAGGTCCGAACGTGAAAGCTGGTTGAGAACCGCGTTGCTGGTTGCAACAACTGTTTCCCTATGAAATGGATGTGAACTACCCCCATGCGCTGATGGTTCATGAGGAGTTTCACCAGGTCGGTCACGTTGGACTCTGTCTGAGCCACCCACTTTATACTGCCAATATTCTGCAACATCAGGTCAAGGCAGCGTGCAATGCACGTCGCACTGTATGTCAGATGGTTTGGAAATGAATCCTTCACCAGATTACCAGTTCTCGTGCACACATCCACGTTGTCCATGACGGCTGGGCCGGCTGGCTCCCGTAGCACATTTCTCACGAACGTCGCACATGGACTCAGATCAAATATTGAAGTATGCCTCTGCTCCCTGTGCCAGACATGCAGTGTGACTTCCAGAACAGCACACTGGTCAGAAAGGAGACCACATTCAACTTGATTCAATTCTTTTTTCTTGGCTCTCCGATCAATCCAGCCATCAACCTGGAGCATGCATTTTGTGTGGGTCTACCGCTGTTGCTGTCGGAAACCCCCTTCCTTGACATGAGAGCGCGCCGGGTCCAACCTCGTCGTCCGCTGTTTGCAGGCAACATTCTGCAGTGCGAACTTTCTCGAACATGCGCAAGAAGTACTTGCTGTGCTCCATGTTGAAGGTGACTCAATCGTAGACTACTAACCAATTAACTTTTTTGAGTCTACGATTAGCCTACGATTGAGTCGCCTTCAACATCGTGCACAGTGAGTACTTGTTGCGCATGTTAGAGAAGGTTCACAATTCAGAACGTTACCTACGAACAGCAGACGACGAGGTTGGACCTGACACGCTCTCGTGTCCAATCGTAGACTCAACAGCCAATTAACTGTTGCGTTTCCTGGTTGCACATCAGGACTGCCCTGCCATCTTCTAGCGGCGTCTGCTCCACATTCATTGTGGGGGACAGCCTGTAGACTTTATTGATGAGGTGCTTTTGGTGAGGATGGGCTTACCTGGCCTTGTGGAGATCCAGCTCTTCTATGCCCTGATATGCGAAAGGCAATCATCCGACTGTGCCTGCGGAACAACTCTCCCCTTCACGAGCGCTATTGCCTCTTGCCAGCCCAACTTCCTCTTCTCTCTTTTCTCTGCCATTATCCCGCTACCCAACCTACTCAGGCTGCACCTGGGCCCTCTAATTGTGCACATGGCATGCTCTGCACAGCGCTTTGCAGTCCCTGGGAACTCCAGTTTGCAGTACCGGCATTTCCATCGGTAGTTTTCTTTCCTTGGGTCCCCCCTTTTCTGAAAGGTTCTCAAAATGGATCTTGATTGCCTCTGCACCTTCTTTTACCCATCTTGCAATCAATGTCAAGTCAAACACAATGCCGCACAACAACGAGCGACTGGTGTCAGGTTCGATGAAATCTGAGCCACTCAAGGAGGAGGAGGAGGAGGAGGAGTGAGAGGTGGTAAAACTGAGAATAGTAGTAGGACGAGTAAGACCAAGAAGACGAGAGAGAGAGAGAGAGAGAAGACGAGAGAGAGAGAGAGAGAGAGAGAGAGAGAGAGAGAGAGAGAGAGAGAGAGAGAGAGAGAGAGAGAGAGAGAGAGAGCCCTGCTCATCATGCTGGTGCTCACCCCGCTGCACCTGGCTGCTACACCCAGCAGCTCATGCACACTACTGAGGATGAAGGCGGCGTGGGGAAGGGTGATGGAGTCTTGCTAGGGGGACGATCGTGAAGAGGAAGGTGGTTTGCGTTCAAAGGTTTGGAAGGCAGGTTTCAAACCTGGACTTCGAAGCCTGCAAGGGGTTGGCCAGTCTTGCAAACTGGCAGCCTGTGGTGCCAAAAAAACAAGAGAATGAAAACGACTTGGGCAGTCGAATCCCTCCCCCCCCAACCCACCCCCCTCCCTATTTGCTCACCATCCGGACGCTGGAGCGGACATCTGGGCCAGACACCGGACTGGTCAGTCCAGATTCCGAAGAAGTGAACTAGATCGAGTCTTGGTGGCCCATCCAGCATTTTTGAAAAGCAGAGATGATTTGATTCCTGTACTCAGTTCTGCTGGATCCTGTTAATGTTTCCTCGTGAAGGAGTTTTCTATTGCTGCTTGTGTATTCATGACTCAACCCCAGTAAATTAAGCACAACAGGTCATGATCTGGAGATGATGAAGAAGAGTGCCTAATAGGAAAGAGGATAGTTGTGGGATTTTTTTTCAAGTTAACAGACTTAGCGGCAGATGCCGAGGCACTGAATGCTAATCCATGTGTGCTGGCAATCTGTCATGTTGTGATGACTGTGCTGTACATGGCAGCCAAAATGGGGTTTCATCCCATCAGCGGATACAATACGGCCTTCCAATGAAGTGAAGAAGAGAGTCATTCACTACAAGATGCATCAGCAAGACAAGCTGGCCAGACACCTGGTAACTGCTACAGTTCATCTTTGGACTAATGGAGTACATCTACTATATCCGAAGTTCATTTTTTTTAGGACATCGGGAGGGCCCTCTTGTGGAAGAGAAGGGAGAATGTGTGTGTGTGTGTAGGGCCCTCTTGTGGAAGAGAAGGGAGAATGTGTGTGTGTGTGTGTGTGTGTGTGTGTGTGTGTGTGTGTGTG